TCTCTTTGTGTCCTTTGAAGTAGCGAAGACATCGGTTATCATACATAGAAAGATACCGTAGGGCTTCTGTTAACAAAAGAGAAACAGCAGATACAATAACTGTTGTTTGGTTAACAAACATAAGAATAAACCTTAAATCCTCCTAAGAAACTCACCTCCAGTCGATTCCAAATTGTGTCTTGTAGAGCATATAACAGAATTAGGATGATGTGTGAAACATATTCGATCCGCGCCATGTTTCTTATGATATGTCGTCTTTATCAACCTAAAGTAACATCAAAATGATATGGCTGAAAATGATCTGGCTGAAAATGATCCTAACAATTAAATTTCTAATCATCAACCTAATTTCATAGCAGAGACCAACAAACACTCAAAATTCAATTCCTTCAACAACAAAAAAAACTTTCTCAAAGCTATGATGAAAACGATCAAGGTACTAGTTGATATGACATAACTGGGATGATGTGTAAACCAACATTAAAACTCATGACTTGTTGTCTTTATCAACCCAAGCCAATTAAAAATAATATAAACAATTAAATTTCTAACAAGAAACCTAATTACTATGATATGTTTTCTTTATCAAAGTAAACCAATATTAAAATGATCATTAATGGAACTAATGAAAATGATCTTATCACTTAAATTTTTAACAATAAACCAAATAACAAAGCAGAAATCATTGAAACGCACATAATTCAAATCATACCGAAAACAAAAACTCTTTATTGAAACTTGCAACTAAAGCTACTAATTAAATCAATGGGAATACGTGTCTTTTCTCTCTCTCTTGTTCCTTCTATATTCGATTACAGTAAAAACGAAGGAAAAAGAAAACTAACGTAGCATTGGCAATGTCGTAAAGGCGAACTGAATCGTCCTCACTGGCTGTCACCAATAGATCATCCTTTCGATGGAAGTCAAGTGAACTTATCTTTCCTCCCTGAAAATACATAACCAGGTAAAAAGTAAAAACAAATCAATTTGAATACTCAGAGACGGAAATTCGAATCAGTAAGCAGAAGTGAAATACCTTCTGTTAACTGAATTAATGCATTAAAAAAATATAAAATAAATCATAAGTTTGGAGCAGCTGTTCTTGTTTTTTTATTACTTGTGATTATTTTTTTGTAGCTTAACAAGAGGTTTGCTTTAATGGCGGATCTAAAAGAGAATTAAAGATAAAAATTAGTTGTGCGACTATTACGAAGTCTGAGAAAACTGCGCCAATCGACATGCTGCGCACTGTTTCGTCGTCAAGCTCTGTAATTGACATCGTCGTCGCCATTTTTTCCCTTTCCTTTTGGCTTTTCGAGACGGGAGGGTTTTAGGATTTAGAGAGGAGATGATACGAAATAAACGACGTCGTAGGAAAAGCCTGAGGGTTATAGAGGTGAAATAATTTTTTAGTCCTATATATTTATAATTTGTATCAATTTGACCCTTGATAAAAGCTAAATGTATATGATTTGCTTTATCACTCTATTCTTTTAGTGCTTGTTGATAAACAAAACTTTGAGGTCTAGCTAAAGATTGTTGCTTTGATTTGGTAATTTTCACATTTAGTTTCAATTAATTATGTTTGTGAATTGCTTAAACTTTTAGTTTCAAAATTTAAATATTAAATCGAATCAAAACTGATAATTTATATATTTAACGCGTCGGAGATCACTTCCAATGACCTGACCACATACAAAATCAATTAATATTAATTAGGTTGAATTAATTAAAGATCATTAACTTGTTCCACCTGCCTAAGAACCCAATGACAGTTGAACTGGTAAATACTTATAAACATGCTTATTTTATTATAATGTTGTTGGAATTAAACTGGACCGATAATTAAATTAATTTAATTAAACAAAAATGACCACTCAACTAATAATATATAACCTAACCTTCTTAAATTATAAAAATACAAATATACTTTTCATGCGCCTCAACCAACACGGAAATACATCATAATGTAGACTATAAATTTATAAAACATTTGCATGCTGATAAAAAGAATTTAATGATATTTTTGGTCTTCCAATTTTTTTTAAAAAATATTTTTAATTTTTTAAAACACTTCTTTAGTTTTGTTAAATTAAATTAATTGATAGAAAAATGAGAAATTTATTATATTAATGTTAATTAATTTATCTTTTTATTAATATTGGTGTTAATTATTTTGTATTTTTATGAAATATAAAAAGTTACGCTTTAAAATAATAGAAATATTTTAAAATTAAAAAAATATTATTTTTAAAATACATATCTAAATGATTAAAAATTATAAAACTTATAAAAACTATAAAAATTGAAAAAAAAAATCATATATATATATAGAGATATATGAAAGAGTCTATGCACGTCGCATATCACAATACACCACTAAAGCGACGTATCGAAACACATCACTAATTAAATTGTCCTTATTAAGTATATATTAAAAGGGTAAATTATACATTTAGTACCTACACTATCATTTTTATTTCGTTTTAATTTCTAAACTTTATTTTTTTTCAAAAGTGCATGACATGTCTATATTTTATTTTTTTTAATTTGCATATCACCTTTCTATTTCTCTATCTTCATTTTTTAATTAATTTTATTCAACCAATTAAATAGTGACACACGTCACCAACTATAGGCTTCTTACATAAAATACATAGAACTCAACCATTGTGTTAAACTCGTAATTTAAGATAATTTTACCACATTTTGTATTTAACTTATATAATTGTATCATCACAAAATTAATATTTTTCGATAATTAATAAAATTTGAATATGTGACACTTTAAATTAATGATCTAAAGCTAAGTCGTTCAACTATAATGTAAATCTATTTTTATTATATCAAACTTAATACTTACTTATATCATTATTAAATAAAAATGATAATTTTTCACTTTATTTGGAAATGAAAATAATTAAATATTATATATATATATTTTATAAAATTTTATTAAATTATTATTTTATTTTAAATATTTATTTATTTTTTAAAATTATATTATTTATTTATTGAAATAATATTAAGTATTTATTTTAAATAATATTGTTTTTGGATTATCTATTTAATTTTAAATAATATTTTACGAAACCAAAAGTAATAGTTGGATACTAATTGTATAATTTACTTTAAATTTAGAATTATTTAAAATAAAATAGATAATTTAAAAATAGTTTTATTTCAAATAAATAAGTGAATTACTTTTGAAAATTAAATATATAATTTTATAATATTATAAATATATTTTTATAATCATTTATACAAATAAAAAAATTATTTATTTTTAAATAAAGTGAAAAAATAGTCTTTTGATTTAATAATGAATAAGTAAGTATTAAGTTTAGTACAATAAAAAAATTTACACTATAGTTGAGTAACTAAGCTTTTGGTGATTAATTTAAAGTGTCCCGTATTTGAATCTTATATCATCGGAAAATATTGATTTTGTCGTGATACCGTTATATACGTTAAATACAAAATGTGATGAATCTTAATTAAATTATTAGCTTAACTCAATGGTTGAGTGATTTATTCATCATTTAAAAGACTCAAGTTCTATTCATGCTAGGCGCAAGAGTGATTTCTAATTTTTATCTCCATAGATGGTGACACGTAAAATTAATTAAAAAATACCGATAATTAAAGAAAAATGTGATGTGGCAATTAAAAATACAAAAAATGACATGTCATGCGAAATGACTATTGTAATCTATCATTTTAATATATACCTAAAAGGACAATCTAGTTAATGGTATGTTTCGGTACGTTACTTTAGTGATATGTTACGGTATGTGACGTGCACTAATTTTCCCCCACACACATATTCTATTGATTATTTTCGTTTGATAAAAAGTAAAATTTTGATAATTAAAAGAAATAAAAGTTAAGTTTTTTAAAAACAAATTAAGAATAATTAAAGAGGAAATGGTAAATTACGTTAAACTATCAGTTTTTGTCCATTTTAGTACTTAAACTTTCAATTTTTTAAATCATACATAAAGTTTAATTTTTGTACTAAAAACTGATTTTTTTTTTAAAGTTTAGGTATTAAAATGAACCAAAAATTGATATTTTAAATACTAAATGTGTTAAATTTTTAATAATGAAATATTGAAATGACATGAAAACTAAACGTTAAGCATGATTTTGAAAGAAAAAAAATTAAGTACTAAAACATATCAAAACTAATAGTTTAAGTACTATATACACAATTCACCCACCAAAGTAAAAGGAATCAGCAAAATTCCACAAGAATTGATAGGTACAAAAGTGTCGCACTCGATTAATAAAAGTTGGATCCACCGCCTTAATTGACCCATTACCCGCCTTCTATATTTAAATGCATAGTGGTGGGTGAAACAAATTTCTTTTTAGATAAAGATTATATAATGACAAAAATTAAATGAACTCCCAATATATATACATATCTACTTCACCTCGTGGTTTGACATTGAAAAAAAGATCTTTCTTTTTTCTAATTTATGCAAATGGGTCCTCAAGCAGCTACCCCATCTCACTCATAGCTTCTATCATTGTCCAACAATGGTGTGAAAAGAAATGATATTAACAAAAAAAAAAACATGAAAGCTATAAGTCAAAGTTTTTGCCTAAAACCAGCAAAAAAAAGATTAAGAGTAAATTACGTATTCAGTCACCACCTATTCTTATGGTTTCATTTTGGTTATCTAATTATTATTTTTTGAAATCATACTAGATGTTACGTTTTGGTTCTATTTAGTCACACTCGTTAAAATAGAAATGTTAACATAGCAATTATCTTATGATGACACATCAATATCATTGTTAGTTTTTTTAACGACAGATGATCAAAATGAAACTAAAACGTAACGTTAAATATGATTTTGAAGAAGAAAAAGAGTTGGTGACCTAAACAGAATCGCAAGACTTAGTGAGTGACTAAATATGTAATTTATCCTAAAATCAATTATTTACAAAGAAGAAAAAAAATTACATTTTTACAATAAGTACACAGTTTAGCACTGACCTTCCAAAATTTTTGCTACATGATCGTTTGGGATTCAAACATACACCTTGATCCAAACTCAGTCATGTCCGGTATTCCGATGGTCTTGATCCGAATTCCCAACTACCGAGTCCCGGAAGATTCGGATGAAGTACCTGAACTCTGAATTTTTCTCAGAGCATTTGATATGAAACTGTCTGTGCTGTATGATCCTGATGAAGTTGCTGTCCCAAGCACATTAGCATTCAAGAACGGCGGCTGGTTCGGCATCGGAATCTCGTAATCTTTATCGGTTAACATCTGAATCACTTCCGCCATTGATGGTCTCAAGAGAACCGAAGCTTGTGTGCACAATAGTCCAATTTGAAGCACACCGGGGGCTTGTTTTGCAGACATTTCATCTCTTATGCTAAGGTCAACAGCTTCAGCCAATGCATTTGTTTTGTAAAGTGTCCAAACCTGAGGTTGAATATCACAAATTCAGTGATCCAAGAGCAACAAAATGTACTAATCCGAAAATCTTTTTGGGAACTTACTGTTTGTAGAAGGGAACCGGATTTTGTGAAGCTGCTGTTCTTTTTGCCACATACAATCTCAATAACAAGTACACCGAAGCTATAAACGTCGGCTTTCTCGGAAAGTTGTCCTCGAATGAGGTACTCCGGCGCCATGTACCCGCTGCAATAAAAACAGAAACCGTGTTTTTAATAACGCTTGAATGGAAATATCATGTGTGATATCAGATAATTCTTACTCTAAACTTACAGTGTTCCGGCAATCCCGGTGCTAAGATGACTCCTTTCGGTACCTAAACATCGAACGAGTCCGAAATCGGCAATCTTCGGACTGAGATTCTCGTCTAAAAGAACATTGCTGCTCTTAATGTCCCTGTGGATTATCCTTACGTGAGAACCTCCTCCGTGAAGATGAGCAAGACCCTCGGCTATTCCGGCAATGATATCGAACCTCTGCTTCCAGGTTAGGAGTTTCGACTTCTCCTCATCTGCGTATGAAAACTAAATCATCAACATTTGAAGCTAAAATCATTAACACATTTGATTAAAGAGCAAAAACATTACCAAAAAGGAACTGATCAAGGCTCTTGTTGGGCACATACTCGTACACCAGGAGACTTTCAGGGCCCTCAATGCTAGCACCAAGAAGCTTCACCAGATTCTTGTGTTGAATTATGCTGATCAAATTTACTTCATTAAAGAAGTCATCAACCCATTGTCTGGTATTATATATCAATCTCTTTACAGCTACAGTTCTTCCATCAGGGAGAATCCCCATGAACACTGAACCAGCTCCTCCTTGGCCTAATTTCCTTGAAGGACTGAAGTAATCCGTTGCTTTCTCGAGAGTTTCGTACTTGAACTTCAAACCCGATCGGTCAAACCGTTTCGAAATCCGGCCGAGATTCTTTAGCTCTGGGAAATGAATTTGATGGTTCATATAGAGCAGGGGACTAATCACTAATGCATAAAATTGGAAATGGAACACCATTGAGATTTTGTATTGTTACCTCTTTTCCTCTTTGACAATCTTGCATATATAACGTAAGCTGCTGAAACTGAAACTGTTACGAATGCAGACAATGCCGAGACGATTGCGATGATGACTCCGATCGAATAGCCTAGAAAAGAGAAGAAGAAGAACACACTGTAATCATTAAAATCAATATCAGAATCTTCAAAAAGAATGAAGAAAAATGGCAAAAGACTTACCATGATGACCCTCAGAATCTGCTCCTTCAGTATAGAACCTAGTTGTGGAGTACCTCAAATAACACCCTGCATTCAAAGCTCTGCCTTCGTCGTTGGGAACGCATCTTCTCACCGTCTCCGACGCATTCTGCAGACACTGCCGACACTCCGCCGGCGTAAGGCTGTCCCAACACTGCGCCAATGCGTACACTCCGTCCATCCCCACCACCCCGAATCCATTTCTTCTCAAAGCGATACTCGTTACGTTCCCGACCGCGTGATCGACGTTTCTTCCGAACGAAATCATCCTGCTGTTCTGATCACGATCGAGCGCTGTTGCGTTATTATTGGAGCTGCAATTGACGGTGTCGAAAGTTGGCGAAACGGATTCGTGAAAGAAGTCTCGATTATATTCGTAACGCAAGAAGCAGCCGTCGAGGAAGATTCGAGCCGAGCGAGGGAGGCAACGCGGGATTCGAGTCCTGGCCTCGGCATGGCAAAGGAGGCAATCGGTCTGGTCCAAATCTTCGTGGCACTGAGCCAATCCATACATCGGAGGCGTGGAGTTGAGATGATATGAAGCGAAGTGATTGTCGTTCATCTGGTTCGACAACTGCTTCATCAATTCAGTGAAAGTCGGAACGTAGTTCGTCCCGTTTGGCGGCCGGGAATCGCCGCAGAAAAGCCCGGCGTTCGTGATTCTTGGATCAGAGAAACACGTGTGAAATAGAAAAGAAAAGATGAACAAGAAAACCCATCTCCAGTATGATTGTTTCAAGGCTGAAAACCCCATAGATTCCATGTTTAGCCTTCAATTTTTTGGGTTTTGAACTTAGTTTTTGTTGAATGGAGCTGAAAGAGACGAAGAACAAGGAAGATCGTAGTGTTTAAAGCTGAGTTTTTAGGCTCTCGCTTCGACCTCAGGGAGGCTAAATTTCACCATTTTCGGCTGGGATTAGTGCGCTGAAAAGCTTCCATATATCTCCATGGAAAGGAAGATCATAGAAGAAAATTCCGCAGCAATCAAATGAAATTTCCTTGGCTTCTTTCCTCTCTTTTAAGCAGAAGAAAAGATAGTTCAATTGAGACCAAACTCTAAATGACAATTCAAGGCGTTGACGTGGTAATATATTTATTAGGTATGAATTATCAATTCAATTAATTTATTATGTCATATTTTATGTTATTAATTATTATTGATTGTTATATTAATATCGTAACGGTTAATAATAAAAAATATCAGTTAAAGAGTCCATATTATAATTATTTTCTGAGTTAAAAAATAATATTAAGAGAAAAAATTAATACAATGATTATATGTTAATTTTTTAAAAGTATAGTACTTTCTACCATAAATATATGAATTTCTTTATATAAATATTGAATACAAATGTGAATTTCAAATTGACTAAAATATAAATTTCTCGGCGAATTCGAATTAAAATATGGAATTGGTTCTAAGTTTAATACAAATAAGACATCCATTGGCTAACATTGATGTGCACGTAAGTTGCAAGAATTCAACAAAATATATACTTGAATGAGAAGATCTTCCGCACCAAATACAACATTTCTTGTTGGATATCACATAAATATTTTTAAAAATTGAATTTTTTTTCTCACTGATCATTTTCTTCTAGAAAATCATTTAATCATAACCATTGAAATTTGGGCCTTTTTGACTCGTTCCATGCACAGTAAACAATGCTTTATGGAACAGTTTGACTTTAAGACAATTGTTTTCTAATAATTTCTCTCTCTGATAAAAATGTTTTATTGATGAATAAATTTTGCAGACTTTATTGATGGATAAATTGTGCAGCCTAAATATTTTATTGATGGATAAAAGTTAATCGTTGATCAATATTGACGAACCATGTACCTCTAAGGATATGGAACATAGAAAAGTTAACATGAACTGATTTCATTGCGGTCACATTTCGTCTCTCGATCATCCTCGAGAAGTTATATAGGGAGTCGTTAATGTATGTGTTATAAGGATATGATGGTTACTAATAGACTAGTGTGTTAAGTGGATGTTGTTGGATTAAAATCTATAATTACGGGTACATAATTTAATATATAGTGTTATCATAAAATATGATGTAAAATCAAGAGACCAATCATGATTATAAATCATAAGATACTATAAATATCATGCGAATAAAAGTTTAGATACTATTAAAGTTGTATCTATAATTTAATGATGGACAGAATTATAAATACAGACAATAATTGATTCTTAAATCAACTATATAAAAAAGTTATGATCCCCAAAAAATATATCATCTCGTATTTTCATTTATCCCGTCAGATAATTTATATTTAAAGAATTCTATCTTCTTAGAATATCTCAACCCTAAAATAATCTTCAAAATCTTAACCTGCTATAATGGTAAGTATTCTAGAATAAATATAAATATTTTTGGCAACAATAGAAGCACAAGGAGTAAGGTTCACCCACCCCTATTGTTACTAAGGTGCGGAGTGGGGGAAGGAGCATCCCTGTTATCCTGGTCAATGCCATTTTCTTTCTATTGAAGAAAATTAGAGTAAATCGCCGGTCCAAATTTAAGGTGACAAATTTGACTTCCCTTTGCCAACTTGCAAATTGATGTGCCAATTTTCTTTCACAGCCACCAATATCCAACCACCATTACTATCTTTTCCCTTATCGGATAAACTACACCATTAGTCATCTAATTATCACGTATTTTATATTTTAGTCATGCAACTATTTTTTATCATCAGTTAGTGTTATGTTACTTTTTTTTATCGGTTATCTTACATTTTTGTTAAAATTGTCCATCTAGCTCAGTTGGTAGAGCACAAGGCTTTTAACCTTGTGGTCGTGGGATCAAGTCTCACTGAGGGCAATTCATAACGAAGGTATTCCACGGAAGCTGCTCTCAACCTGGTGTTGGGGGCAGCCTACTACTCTACCTCTCCCTTATCCCTATTATATATGGGAATAGAGTCAACTAATTTAATTTTAGTCCCTAAAACTTATATATTTTATCATTTTAGTTTTAGTTTAAAATAATTTATTAATTTTACATCTTATTAAGTTTCTCACTATTCATCTTCTTCTCTAGCTTTTTTGAAAGCTCGTCGGATCCCAGTGGATTTTTGAATGATAAATTAAACTATAATAAACATATTTGGACATTTCATGCATTTCTAGAACAGTATATAGATTGTGTATTTGTGGATTACATTTTGATTTCTTTTTCTTTTTTTTCATCCATTGCGATGGTAGTTAGGAGTGAGTATTCGATAGAGTTGAGTCGAGTAAAAAAAATTCAAGTTATTCGAGTTGATGAGTCGTATTTTACAATTCGAACTTAACTTGAAATTTTTTCGAGTCGAGTCGAGTTTAAGAAATTTGATTCGAGTTATTCAAGTTTATAAAATATATTCATAATATTATATTTTAAAGAAAGTATTTTGAGGTTAAAATATTAATGAGAGTATAAATGAGTCAAAGAATTGATGGGAAGAAATAATTTGTAAACAATTGTAGTAAAAGGACCAAATTGAATAAAATAAAAAGTTAAGGGACTAAATAAAAAGAGAGATATTATATTTTTAGTAAAAAATTAATAATTGAAGTTACATAGATATTCCATTGTGGTATATAAGCATGTAGCTCAAATTTGGTAAAAACGGACTTAAAATAAAGGATGAATTGGAGAAATAAGGAAATTATGAAAAATTGAGGGATTAAATTGAAAAATAAATAAAAAATTATAAAAAAGAGGAATTGAAAGTACATAGATATTCTAAAATGGTTTTGGAGCATGTGGTTCAAAATTGTTAAAAATAGACTTAAAATAAAGAATGAATTTGAAAAAAAAGAAATTATAAAAAATTGAGAGACTAAATTAAAAAATAGAAAATTTGTTATAAAAAAGAGGAATTGAAAGTACATACATATTCTACAATGGTTTAGGAGTATGTGGTTCAAATTTGATAAAAACGGACTTAAAATAAAAGATGAATTGAAAGAATAATGAAATATGAGACTAAATCATTAAATTTTCAAAATATTTAGTCAATTTTTCGGTTTTTCCAGTAACTCAAAATTTCTATTCGACTCGAATTCGAAAACTGAACTGAAAATTCAAGCCGACTCAAATGACTCGAAATTTAAAAAAAGAATCATTTTTTCGAGTCGAGTTTTATTCGCCCCTAACAGTAATTACACTCTCACTCTGCCTAAATTCTCTAGTTCCAGCTCCAATTTCCTTTCACTCTATTTTAATGATAAGCGATTAAAATATAAAAAGTCAATGTTAATGATGATTTTATAAAACAAATGATTTAATGAACAAAGTAGAAAAACAATAATAAGTTTATGACCAGTAGGTGTAGTTTACCCTTTTTGTTTTAATTTATTCATTGTTTTGACTTTTAAATTCCCAACAGATGTTTACAATTATTTTCTCTACACAAAGTATAAGCTTTATTCATGTCTAAAATTTGCTCCAATAATATGTTGGAAAAATTTTTGGTCTAGAGTTTAAAAAATTATCATTTTAAATATACATTTAACGATTTCTAAATCATCGTCGGTTATCTTTATTGTCGTATATACATAAAACATGAATAAAACATCTTGCAATCCAGATGACTTTTAAATATTATCGTTTCAGACAACTTATAATAATTATTTAAATAAATAACCTATTTAAGAAAATAATTTTCATGTATTTTATATGACCAATTTTTCAATACATTATTAAAAAGATTATCCATATGATTACATTTAATCTAATATAAAATTAATACAAATATACGTTAAAATATATATAGATAATTATCATATGTGAAAACAAGAAGCTTCACAAGAAGGATTTTCGATGCATTGGTGTGTCCCTTATTATTATTACTTATTTTTAGACGATGACAACATCTAAATTTACTTATAAAATTTTTATTATATTAATAATGCATATAACATTTATATAATAATTAATTATATTAAAACGAATAATTATGCTATTTAATAATATTTATTGAAAATGAAAATTTTTAACTCCACAAATAATATTAGATGAACAAATTGTGTATATTTTTAATTTTCTAATATAACCTAAATGGACATGATAATATTTTCACTATTGTAAATGTAAATACGAGGAGAAATAAAAAAACTAAATGCAACGTTCAGGTGAACCTTCTTCCAAAGAACAAAAGTTACTTTTGAATTGAATTTGTTGTGATATATCTTTCCAAATTAGTTGAAGCTAATCACCAAGAAAACAACAGTTGCTCACTCAAAAAAATCATGAAGAATCATGAAAGTTGAATTTAAGAGATTGAGACGACGACAATAAAGAGATGTCGATAGTGGTGATCCACCGATAAGTGAGTCGGAGTTCGATAATGGTGGCAACAACTTGTGGTAGTAGTGAAATTTATAAATTCTAAATTTAATCACAATCCTACTTAGAGAGGAGGGAAAGACGAGACTCTAGAAGAAGGAAGGTGAATACCTCTAATAGGTCTAAAATTCATTTCTTAAGGGAATACGAGGAAACAACGATGAACAGCTTGACCAAACGATCAAATGTACAATGAACTTTGAGACTATAACTTATTTGAACACAGTGGTAGAACTTGGTGATAGAGTTTGGTAAGGCCAACTGAAAATTTTTAAAAAAATTTGGAGGTTTAAATTAAAAATTTTGAATGCTTTAGTTTACATTTTTCTAAAAAAAATTAGGGTCTAACTAAATTTTTTTGAAATTTTGATAGGGTTAATAAGAATTTTTAAAAATTATGGAAGGAGATTTAATTAAGAACATTCAAATTTTTTAAAATTTAATCTAAATTTCTAAAATTTTAGGGGGTAAACTAAATATTTTTAAAAAATTTAAAGGTCTAAACTATAATTTTTTAAATTTTGGTCACCATGAGCCCCTCTAGTCTCCCAACACTTATTTTTTTAATTAAGACCAAATTTTATAAAATAAAATATAATTTATAAATATTAAAATTTATGATTAATATGGTAAACATAATAAAAAAATTATAACGTAATAATATTATAAACAAAAATTGTATGTATTAGATTATGATTTAAATTTATAT